ATGAAATATATAAACGAATATTGGATGAACTTGGGCATTCCACGGATCGTTCAAATTATAGCCGCTTGCAGAACTGCGTAATAAAAATTACTGTCATCAATCGTATGAGTTAAGTTTAGAATAATCTAAGTCTTTTAAATCCGGCTATCGTGAGGAGGCTGACCAGGTTTGTGTAATAAATAATAACATAATTAGAGTTTATATTAAGTTTTATATGTTATTGTCATTATTTCAAGTTAAATACATTTTAGCCAATACCAGCAATGATTCGTACAGTCTCGAATAAGCAGTTGTAAATAATTACTTATAATTAGATGCGGAAAGTATAGTTCAAAGACAAAAACCTCAATGTCTAATGGATGTAAATAAACAAATCGCCAAGCAACACGCCGAACACAGCGGCGAGCGTGCAGCTATGCTTGTGACTGTGTTAGAGATATACATGTAGTGTTACCGACAATTTTTTCCGAATATTTCGGAAACTATTGCGGTATATAGGCGGATAATATTGCGGTAAACTGCCAAGGATGAAGTTGTAGAAAATGTTGACTTCTACAGCATATCATGGAAATTCAAGCTGCCGGCAACTTCTTAACCCCTTCCCGTGCCATTTAGTTCGACGAAACTCGGGCCAAAGCGGTCGACATCGACGCGCGCTAAACAGACCAGACTGATGCTCGCAAACAGGAACTAACATTCGGACACGATCGTAACAGGCAAAAAAACAGTCCGCGAGCTCGGCTTGTTATGTTCACGTTTGGCCCAAGTATCTGGTCGCGAGTCAGACTCGCGATATTCATGTTTGAGCCAAAATCTTCATCGCGAGTTTGACTCGATAAAGTACGGGAAGGGGTTAAATAATTTATTATCTAAAATTTTATTCTCATTCTTATTCATTATTCATTAATGTTTTCTTCAGAAAAAAAATTTTTTCGTCCGTTTTTTTTAAATAACTGTGTTCGATACATTATAGAGAAACTTTTTATTCGTCTTTATAGAGCCCTCCATCTGGTAATCTTTACGTACGCTTATGTAGAGGACAACCCTGAAGTAATGCCGCATGATAGTCCCAGGGTTGAAATTACCCCAATTACCGCTCCTGTAACGGGTAACGGGTTTTTAGTAGATATGGCGCTACCATCTTGCCGAGCCTAACATAACTCAGAGGCGCGGGCCTCTATATCTAATGCATTTTCTCCTGTTCGCGCGCGTGCAGAAAAGGACAGCATATACGTATATCCATAGAATTAAACTGTCTTTGTTGGTCGTGGATTTTTCAAGATTTTCAAATTATTTATAGCAGCATAAGAATAACTTTGTTTAAAAGACTATTACATTGGATGTGTGGCGGCACTCGACAACAAATACCGTCACTCGACACTAACTTCTACCGGACGACGGTAGCGCAGTGGTTAACGTCTTAGGTTACGAACGGGTTCGAATCCCGCGCCCGTAATCCTATTTTTCTTCCACGCATCTAAATTAGAACAAAAATAGCACTACCCCAGCAGCGACACCTTCAGCCAGCAGCTACAATCATCAGGCACAACACTTACACCTCAAATTGGTGACCCCGACGTGATCGACAGCGAAAAGAGGTGTGCGACTGTGATACCGCTATCCGAGACTTCGATTATCGCGGATCTAAGACCGTGGCAATCTAGATCTACCGCTACGACACACACGGAACGGCCCTTCCTTTAGCAAAACCCGCCGACTCACGCAAGCCGGTGACTGGATACGAGACGATGACCAAGCCAGGAATGATGTAACCATTGCAAAGTTCATGGGCATCACCACCAGCATGTCATACTAAAAAGAGGAACAAAGGCCTACGAATAATTGAGATTTTTATTTACATTGAATTTGACAGTCAGTAAACAAACTATAATAGAAGATCATGATGAACAATTAAGATCGTATTTACAATGTAAAATATTGTACAATTGTTACATAGTTTGAATATATTTTGCACTTACATATTTTATGCACTTTGATATATAATATCTATATAAAAATCAGCAGCGTAATAGTGACAATTTTCAAGATGTAAAGTCGTTATTGTATTGTAGTAAAATTGAATATAATCGGCGCAGAGACATTTGCGCAGCGTACAGGATTCGCTTATAGTCCAGAAGCGTAGCCAATGAACAAGCAGTACGAATTTGTCTTTATTAGGGACGGTATTGTTCGACAGTCTTTCATATTCGGGACGCGGTAGTGCGGTCATGCTACGGAATAATTACCTATTTAAGCGTTACAATTTTTGTGTTTGGCAAGTGTTTGAGCAATTGGTAAGAAGTGCTAGTTGCTATATAAAATATAAAACCTGGTTATTCGAAAGTTGCAATTTACTATAAAAAGGATTTATTCAGGATAAATACTTTATACTTGTAAATTTTATGAATTAAAAACTTTCTGTGAATTATTTTAATCTAATAACTTTGTTCTGTCTCCAGGGTGAGTCACACGGCAATCAGATAGATTATTCCACATGTGAAAGTAAGTCGTAGAAACCAATACAGTTTTCTTATTTATTTTTCTTTTTTGTTATTTTTATTATATTTTTCGTCTCTCATGTACTACTTGCATTCATACATTTATATTAACGCAAGAGTGTTGTTATACATAGTTATATTTTAGTTTTAATTAAACTAAAATATAACTAAATTAAATATATTGATTGTAATTTTTTATATGTCGGGTTTGCATTAGAATTAGGGTTAGGGGCGTGAAACGAATCTCCGTTTGGGTTACACGTTGTCGTTATGCAATAGAGAAGACATTGACTAGTGCAAATACGATTATTATAGAACCGGATAAGTAACCGTGGTAGTTAGGTACTCGAGAAATTAATGACAATGGTCCTAGATTCAATAACGAATCCGCGGTCGACGGGATGATAGATGAACGTGTGTCTAAGGACACGAGATCATCGGATTCGTCGAGAAGAGCCTTCGTTCAGAAAGTAAGGGAAATTGGCGTTGCTGCTAATTGGTCAATCTCCATATCGGTGGTTAGAAAAAGATGCTAGCCGCCCTTGAGGGAAAGTTGCTAGTGGGAGACGCCGCTCGTTGAAAAATAGGTCTCCCCTATCTTCCCGTAGTTGGGACAAAGACCGTTTGTCTGTTTGAAGGACTTTAGTTGACTAAATCTTGAGATATATAACGGGCCCTCGAGCTAGCCGAACATGTACTGCGGAGATGCATCGACATCTGGCAATCATCTTACTCGAAGAATAGGGTCTGCGTGTGGCGAGCCACTGGACAGAAACCGTTGGAATGTTTACTGTCGCGTGTCGCCACGAATATTTCTTTTAAGGGGAGCTATAGAATTACTCCATACCTTTGTTAGACAAAGCGTTCATCCCGTTACCGCGGCTACGTTCGGCGACTGACTGTCGCCTCGAGCCCAAGCTCATTATCACAACTCTCGAACAATTACAATCGGGTTGAATAACTACAATTGTTCAATTACAGCTATAGTAGACTCTAGGTTACAATGTTGCGGGATTATCCAAAATTCCAAAGTTTCCGGTGTTCCTTCATCTCCGACATATATAAATGTTAGATCGTTCTTCCTATTTT